AATAGAGACATACAAGATGATCAGAGGATTAGATAGGGTGGACAGTGAGAGCTTTTTTCCTCGGACTGTGATGGCTAGCACGAGGGGACATAGCTTTAAATTGAGGGGTGATAGATATAGGACAGATGTCAGAGGTAGGTTCTTTACTCAGAGAGTAGTAAGGGCGTGGAATGCCCTGCCTGCAACAGTAGTAGACTCGCCAACTTTAAGGGCATTTAAATGGTCATTGGATAAACATATGGATGATAATGGAATAGTGTAGGTTAGATGGGCTTTAGATTGGTTTCACAGGTCGGCGCAACATCGAGGGCCGAAGGGCCTTTACTGCGCTGTAATGTTCTATGTTCTATATAATAGAACTTAATACTGAACCACATTAGGAGATGTTAGGGCAAGTGACTAAAAGCTTGGTCAAAAAGGTAACATTAATAAATATCTTCAGGGAGAAAAATGAGTTAGACGTGGAGATGTTTAGGAAGGAAATTCCAGAGCTTGATACCTCGGCAACTGAGAGAAAAGCCACCAGTAGTTTGGCAGTTAAAGCTGGGAATGCTGAAATGACCTGAATTATATGAGCACAGAGATATTGGAGAGTTGTGCAGAGATTACAGACATAGGATGATGACAATTATGAAGGAAAGCAAGGATGAGCATTTTAAATTTGGGTGCTTATTAATCACCTTTGTTAATCAGTGTGCACAGAATGGTTCTTAAACAAGACTTGGTGTTAGTCCACAGGCAGCAAAGTTTTGGATGGCCTAAAGATTTTAGGAAAGTTCAAAGTGCTGGCCCCACAAGTTATCACATTATTCAGTCAATGTTACAACCTACCTCTCTTCTCGCGAGTTCCCTCTCAGTTCCTTTCACATGCTTTAATTCAATTTCACAGGACGTTCGAGGTGGAGGATTTACAACCCAAACATCACATTAGGGTTTGACAAAGTTGCTGAATTTATGATAGCCTGATAAGATTCTGAGTATGGAAGGAGAAAGTAGTGTTGATAAGCTCACTGGGGACAAACCATGGAAATGTGTGGACTGCAAAGTGGGATTCAGATATCCATCTCAGCTGGAAACTCATCGACGTACTCACACTGGAGAGAGGCCATTCCTTTGCTCTGTCTGTGGGAAGAGATTTGCTCTGTCATCAGACCTGTTAAGACACCAGCGGGTTCACACTGAGGAGAGACCTTTTAAATGCTCAGACTGTGGGAAATGCTTTAAAAGTTCTGGGAACCTGCTGTCCCATCAACGTGTTCACACTGACGAGAGACCATTCAGGTGTTCTCACTGTGGGAGTCGTTTCAGGCGATCGTCCCATCTTGCTGTACACGAGCGAACTCACACTGGGGAAAGATTCACCTGCCCCAAGTGTGGGAAAGAATTCACTCGGTCATCCAGATTGCTGAAACACCAGAAAATTCACACTCAGCCGAAACAATTGACCTGCCCTGAATGTGGGAAGGGATTCACTGAGTTGTCCTCCCTGCTGAGTCACCAGCGAGTTCACACTGGGGACAGACTATTTATATGTTCCAAGTGTGGTAAGGAATTCACTCATTCATCCAAGCTGCTATCAGACCAGGAAGTTCAAACTGGGAAGGGGCCATTCACCTGCCCTGAGTGTGGAAAAGAATTCACTCTGTTAGCCACTCTGCTGACTCATCAGTATGTTCATGCACCACCATTAACTTGTCCTGCATGTGTGAGGGACTCGCTCTGTTAGCCACTGTACTGACATCAGCATGTTCACGCATCACCTGCATGAAATGTGAGAAGGAATTCACTCAGTTGTCCCACTCATTGAGATGCAGCAAGTTCACAATACAGTGATTGGATTTTTCTGTTAATCATATCCAAGACTGGCCTGATTTAATGTCTTCATAATAAAGCAGCTTCTCAATAACAGTCATCACCACAAGATTTAATTTCCCATTCATTTTTACGGAGAGAAGAGTTGGTCTATGACTAGACATTGGAAGTCAAATAAAGGCAAAGACACAAGTGGCTAAACTGAACTGAGATATGAAGTTTCTGGGTGACTAGATGAGACACTTGAGAAGATATTTCATTACATTCTGCAACTTTGCTTTCTGGTGTGAAAGAAGGATTCTAGGAGAAGGCTGCACATCTATGGATAACTAAGAATATTAAAGAGTGCATAAAGTTGAAAGAAAAGAAGTTATAATTGTGTGAAGATGAGAAAGAATTTAACAATAGTATAGATCAAGAAAAAAATGTATGAAATGGGAGTATGAGATAAACTGGCTAAAACTATGAAAACAGAGGTTCTGTAAGTGTTCTAAAATGAAACGTATTATTCTTCTACTGAATGTGTTTGGGAATGAATATTGGATATTAAGGAATTCACAGAAATGTTAAACAGATATTTTTGGGGTATGTGCATTGTATATAAATAACATCACAAATGTAACAGAAAATCAAGGCATGAAAGGGAGAGAGAAACTTGAAATAATTGCAACCATCAAGGAAAGGATACAGAGACAATGATTGGAGCTAAAGGTTGACAAGTATTCAGAATCTGACGGCCTGCATCTTGGGTTCTGAAAAGCAATTGTTGTGGACATCCTGCATGCTCTAATTCTAATTTTCCAAAATATTCAGAATTCCATAAAGATTACGTCAAATTAGAAAATCACAAATATAATTCCTCTATTCAAGAAATAATAGAGACAGGACGCAGGAATCAACAGGCTTCTGAGCCTGATATCTATCATAGAGAAGTTGTTAGAATCTATTCAGGATGTTATAGAATGACACGTAGAAGATTGAAATGCAGTCTGCAGAGTCCATGTGATTTTGTGAAGGGAAATAGCATTTGACAAATTTATTAGTGTTCTTTGAGGAATCAATGTGGATAAAACACACCCTGCCAATGTGATGTGATATTTCTAAGTGACATTTTAAAAGGTGACGACACGAAAAGCTTCTAGTGAAGAGAATGATATTAATATGAATACAGGATTGGTTAGATAACAGGGAGCAGAGAGTAGAGATAACTGGATGATTTTCAGGTCGGTGAGCTGTAATTAGTGAGGTGCCACAGGGATCAGTGCTGGGACCTCAATTTTCTTACAATTCATGTCAATGACTTCAATAAGAGACTGACTAGATTTGTTTATGATTTAATGTAGACAGGAAATGAAGTTATGAAAAAAAAATGAGTTGAGGATAAGTGAGTGGGTGAGAAAAATGACAGATGGAATAAAATGTAAGAAAATATGGGCTTGTGCAATTTGGCAGGTAGACTAGCAAAACAGCATGTTTCAATTAGAGATTACAGAACAATGAGGCACAGAGGTCTGGCTGTCCTGATAAATTCATCACAGCACGTTAGCATGCAGATATAGCAAGTGATTAGGAAGGGAAATGGAATGTCATTGTTTCTCTAAACTGGTCCCTGTAAAGAGAGGTCTGTCCTATGATGAAAAACTGAGTAAATCATGCCTGGGATCTCCGAAATTTGGAAGATTAAGATGTAATCTCATTAAAATATACAGAAATCGGGAGGGGATTTACAATACAGATTCCAAATGACCTTGTTTCTCTCTATCTCTGTATTCCCCAGTCACACAACCATTTGGAATACCAGTCTTTTCTCATTCTGTCCTCTTTGCCTCCCTGATTTTAATTACTCCACCAGTGGTGTCTTTGCCTGGATGTGAAGCTCTAAAATTACCTCTCTAAACGTCTTCCCCCCTGTCACTTGGTAATAGATGCTTGTTTGACATGGGATCTCCCACTTACTAGGATGCTGCTTGGGCTGCAGCAATTCAACTATGAAGAGAGACGGATAGGCTGGGGTTGTTTTCCCTAGAGCAGAGAAGGCTGAGCGGTACCTGATTGAGATGTACAAAGATTTTGAGGGAAGTAGATAGGAAGAAACTTTAACTTTGGTAGAGGGGTCACTAATGAGGTGGGACAGTCTTAAGATAAACCCCAGGAGGTGCAAAGTGGATTGCATGGATTTTCTTTCATTCAGAGGGTTGTAGACAATGGGAACCTGCTGCCTAAAAAGGCTGGAATGCTCGGGCATTTAGGAAGTATTTTGATCAGCATTTGGAACACCACGACATACGAGGCTATGAGTCCCGTGCTAGAAAATGGGATTAAAACAGAGAGATTATTGAGTGCCGGCATGTATACGACGAATCAAGGTGCCTCTTTATATGATGTCAATCTCTATGACTCTATTAAATACCATTCCTAATGTCAGTAGTTACTTCAACTGTTTCTTGAAGAAACTCCTTTGAAGACTATTGACACATTTTATTACTTTAAGCATGTTAGAAAGCAAGCTTGATACTATTTCATGTCATCAGTTTGTGCAGAGTAAAATTCATAAGTAGCAGTTGGTGGGATTACCCAGATTAATGCAGATTTTTTGGGACGTGGATTGTTTAAGGCACAAGTCTTGGTCCTACAACATCAGGTTAACTCCTGTGGACAGTGTTTAGAATTGTGGTCTGTGCTGAGAGTGGAGCTGATTGAGCTGACAGACCTGTAGTGAACTTCAAAAAACTGCTGTATGGGAACTTTCCTCTTCATTCAGTGACTTCCTGCTGAAGTTGATTCTGCATAAAACAGGTCACTATGAATCTCAATTCTAATGCAATCTTTGGAGCAAAGTTTACAACTTTAAATCAGCTGTAAAGCAGAAAGAAAGTCCTCATGTTTATTTTGCCTCTTTCGCATACTCAGAATGTCGCAAAATGATTCACAGTGTATGATGAATTTTGTAAGGAGCAATGAGGAGGGGCAGAACTAACTAAATGATACAACTTTAAACAAGAGTACCTGGGAGTGTATTACAACAAATCTTAGAAGGTGAAATGTTATGTTGCTCAAGCTTAATGATCCTTAGTTAAGATTTCCTAAATCTTCGTAAATCATTGATTCATCCTCAGCTGCAATATTCTGTTCAGTTCTGAGGACCAGACTTTAGGAAATATGTCAGGTTCTTTGAGAGAGTGTGGGATCAGTTTCTCAGTATCAGGGATGAGGGGTTTTAGTTCAGTAGAGGAACTGGAGAAGCTATTCTCAGAAGAGTATGAAGAGAGGAGGAATACTGCAGGGAGTAACTCCCATCCTGATTCCCCAAAGCCTGTCCACCATCTACAAGGCACAGGTCAGAGTCTAGTGGAAATTACCTACTTTCCTGGATGAGTGCAGCTCCAATAACACTCAAGAAGCTTGACACCATCCAGGACAAAGCAGCTGGCTTCATTAACATCACATGCACAAGTATGCACTCCATCTACCACCGTGACTGAGTAGCAATAGTAAATACTATCTACAAGATGCACCTCAGAAATTTGCCAATAATCCTGAGACAGCACCTTCCAAACATAAGAACTACAAGCAGGAGTAAACCATCTGGCCCTCGAGCCTGCCCCGCCATTTAATAAGATCATGGCTGATCTTTTTGAGACTCAGCTCCACTTACCCGCCCACTCACCATAACCCTTAATTCCTCTACTGTTCAAAAATTTATCTAGCCTTGCCTTAAAAATATTCAGTGAGGTAGCTTCAACCACTTCACTGGGCAGGGAATTCAACAGATTCGCAACCCTTTGGGTGAAGAAGTTCCTCCTGACCTCAGTCCTACATCTGCTTCCCTTTGTTTTGAGGCGATGCCCTCTAGTCCTCGTTTCACCTGCTAGCGGAAACAACCTCCCTGCCTCCACATTATCTATTCCCTTCATAATCTTATATGTTTCTATAAACATATGTTTCTAAACCCTGAGCACTTCCATCTAGGAGGACAAGGCTGGTAGATATGAAAACACAACCATCTGCAAGTTACCTTCTGAACCACTCACCATCCTGATTTGGAAATGTGTTACCATTCCATCAGTGTCACTGCGTCAAAATCCTGGAATTCCCTCCCTAAGGGTATTATGAAGCCACTTACAGAACATGGACTGCAGCGGTTCAAGAAAGCAGCTCACTGCCACCTTCTCAAGGGCAACTAGGGATGGGCAATAAATGGTGATCCAACCCACATCCCACTGGAGAACAAAAAAGGTAATGTCGCTCTCGTCAGGGCAGAGAAGTAAAGGAGTGATGCGAACTGCCAGTCGTTTGCTCCCCCTGATTGGAAGACCAGCCACACCCATATTGTACTTAAGGCCCACCCTTCATTAATTCTTATTGATTGACGACCAGCCACACCCTTCTGGTCATCCAGTCCCACCCCCTCTCTTCCTATTGACCCTGAGCTGCCATCAATCAGCATGGATCCTTGTTCTTTATTCAATTACGGTGGGAAGACTTTTTCTGAACATTTTATTGTTCTAATTTATTATTATGACTTTGTACTTCTGAGGGTCTGTATTGCTGGACTTTTAATTTTCTTTCCCCCGGGAGTTTGTGCTGGAGAGTCTGCAGCTAGGTACCTTAGCAGCTAACATGGCTCTGTAAGGTGCGACTTGTAAACTTTTCACTGTACTCATGTGAGCACGTGACAATAAAGCTATTTCATTCATCCCTTTTGTCAGTTGGAACATGTGTTGTTCCTGGCCACTACTATTTACTGTAGAGCGCACGCATAGTCATAATCTTTCACCAGGCTGCTGATGGTCAGTTTCGTGTCTGTCGAATCCACAAAGGCTAAGAATGAGGGGGATTGGAGTAAGCAATGGATCGGACAGTGGATTGGTGGACTGGTTTTCGAAATATTTTCTGTCACCCGCAAACCCGTCGATCCTCTGCTTGTACTCAATGGGGCGATGGCTCCAGGTTTCCTCCCAGTGACAGGGCTTCGGGAATGGCCACAGTCTTTACTGGGGGCACAGGGCAACAATACAGGTGTGCATCTTTATAGGGGGCAATGTTTGGAAGGACTGAGAGACTTTGTAGCCATTGTTCAGAATTGAGAAAACTTCTCCATCAAGCTGCATTCGCCTTTCATTTCCAATGTCTTATTAATGAGGCAGAGTGACGATACAGAAGGAAAAATTAAGGAAGCAAAATCTGCTCTCCCTCCCTCTATGTTAGATTTTTTTTTCCCCCAGTGGTTTCCCTCAAATTAACATTCAATAAGCCCAATTTCACAACCGAATCTTTACATTCTTTGCTTCTCTCACTCACCTTTTGCTATTTTCACTCAACTAAATAAGGCATTGAAAGCAAAGGTTTGCATTCGGGAAACTGAAACAAAACATCACAACAGGATCAGACCCAGTCATCCGATTTATAATAACCCAAATTTCATCAGATTTTGAACATGAAAGGAAACGGCACTGTTCGCAGTAGGATGAAACCACAGCTGTTCAAAGTGTGGATGAGATTTCAGCGAATCATCTGGCCAGTCCAGACACAAACAATGTTATAGTGGGGAAAAACTGCGGAAATGTGGTGACTGAGAAAAATGGTTTGGATGTCCATCTGAACTGGAAGGGCATTGGTGCATTGAAACTGAGACAGCCAATTGAATCTGCATCAGTAAAAAACAATTACTTAGCTATTGTGATCCAATTTTTCCTGCTCTGAGCACAAAGTCTATCACGTTTTGCAAGTGTATATTTAAACACGACTTAAATGTTCTGAGGGTTACTGCCTCTACCACTCTTACAGGCAGTGAGTTCAATATTCCCACTACCCTCTGGTTCAAAAAAAAGTTCTTCACATACCCTCTAAAGTAGTTGCCCCTTGACTTAATTATATGCCCCTGGTTTTTGATTCCCCCACCAGAGGGAAATGCTTCTTCTCATCGATCCTGTCTATGCCTCTCAAAATTTTAAGCATAACAAAACTGCAATAAAATTTCCCAAGATGATTCGGGGTAGCTTTATGGAGAAACACTTGACACTGAGCCCAGAGAAGGTTACATTAGGAAAGATGCTTAACTGGAGAGGCAGTTTTCAACAATTATCTTTAATTAAGAGAGTCATAGAGTTATACAGCATGGAAATAGACCCTTCGGTCTAAACGTAAGAACATAAGAACTAGGAGCAGGAGTAGGCCGTCTGGCCCTTCAAGCCTGCTCCCCGCCATTCAACAAGATCATGGCTGATCCTTTCGTGGACTCAGATCCACTTATCCGCGTTCTCACCGTATCCCTTAATTCCTTTATTGTTCAAAAAAAATCTACCTTTTTTTAAAAAACATTTACTGAAGTAGCGTCAACTACTTCACTGGGCAAGGAATTCCACAGATTAACAACCCTCTGGGTGAAGAAATTCCTTCTCAGTTCAGTCCTAAATCTGCTCCCTCTAATCTTGAGGCTATGCCCTCTTGTCCTAGCTTCACCTGCCAGTGGAAACATCCTCTCTACTTCTATCTTATCTATTCCCTTCATAATTTTATATGTTTCTATAAAATCCCCCCTCAATCTTCTGAATTCCAATGAATATAATCCCAATCTACTCAGTCTCTCCTCATAAGCCAACCCCCTCAACTCCGGAATCAACCTAGTGAACCTCCTTTGCACCCCCTCCAGTGCCAGTACATCCTTTCTCAAGTAAATCATCCATGCTGACTAGATATCCTAAATTAATCTAGTCCCATTTAGCAGCATTTGGCCCACATCCCTCTAAGCCCCTCCAATTTGTGTATCCATCCTCAGGCAGCTCATTTCCATACATGCACCACCCTGTGTGTGAATAAGTTGTCCCTTCAGTCCCTTTTAAATCTTTCCCCTCTCGTCATAAACCTATGCACTCTAGTTTTGGAATGCCTTATCCTGGGAAAAAGACCTTGGCTATTCACCCTACCCATGCTCCTCATGATTTTTTAAATCTGTATGAGATCACCCCTCATCCTCCAACACTCCAGGGAAAACAGCCCCTCACTATTGCTCAAACACTCCAACCCCAGCAATATCCTTGTAAATATTTTCTGCATCCTTTAAAGTTTAACAGCATCTGTCCTATGGCAGGGAGACCAGAATTGAATGTAGTATTGCAAAAGTGGCTTAACCAATGTCCTGTACAGCCAGAAAGGAATGGAGAGATTCATGCACACTCATGGACACCACTGCTGGAATCATTAAAATCAGGGAGGCAAAAGAGGCCAAAATGAGAGGAGCACAGATCCTTAGGAGGCTGGTAGAATTGCAAGTGACAGTAATAGAGCTGAACAAGGCCACAGAAAGATTTAATAACAAGGATGTTAATTTTAAAGCTGAGGCATTACTTGCCCAGGAGCAAAAGTTGATCTGTAGCACCCCTTGATGGGTGAAGGGGACTTGTGCGAGATACAGGCAGCAGAGTTTTGGATGGTCTTATGATTCCAGAGGGATTGGTCATTGTATTGGAATCATCAAGTCTACGATAACATAAATGTAGATGAGGGATTCAGCAGCTAATAAAAAGGAGACAAATGATGGGGTTAGAGACTGAAATTTCTGGTGTGCGTGATTGTTTGGATATGTGGTGGAAATTCATCTCGGGTCCCAGTTATGCGAGCAAGATTGCAAAGAGTGTTAATTAGGGAATGGAATTTGTAATGATGACTAAAGGCAAAGGCCTCCTGGATGTGGGATAAGGAAAGTAGCATCACTGGAGGAATGGAGAGACAGGGTAGCGAGGTAGAGCTGGGCATTGTCAGTGTACATGTGAAAAGAAATATGGTACTTTTGGATGGTGTCACCTCGTGACAGCGTGCAGATGAGAAATAGGAGGGATCAAGGATAGATCATTTGGGGGGGATAGATCATTTGGGGGACACCAAGTACAAGGTCTTCAGAGAGGAAAGGGACAATGAAGATGGAGCAAGGGTTTGTAAGAATGGTAGAGTCAAAGTCTACTCTCTCTTAGGTTGTGTGATGATGATGGATTTAAAGGAGAGGAGGAGAACTAGGAAAGAGTAGAAGAAAGCCATTAATGATATCAATTAACATAGAAGAGTTAGATGGTTGACAGTTTAGTGAGAATAGGGCCTGACAAGAGAAAACTGGAGTAAGATGCAAGTTCCAGACTAATGCAAGGAGAAAATTGCGAGGGTGTTTGGTCTGGTGGGCCCATGGAAGGGAGGGACACAGCAGAAGCAGCTGATCACACTGTCTCAATCTCAATGACAAAGAAGCTCCATGAGCTCCTCACGGGGGCTGCTGGAGGAGGCAGGGGAGAGGAAGAACTGTCTAACAGCCATGTACCTATGTTACAGGTATTAAAAAAAACTTCACATTTTATGTTTGATCCAAGGCTAACTTATTTGATGTTTATCCAGAAAACTGACACCTATACCTCAAGTGCAGTTTACTAACACCAGAAACAGACACCAATGGAATAGTATCACCGTCAAACACAATCAACAGCAAAATCTAATCACTGTTGTTACTTGTGAACTCGCTGGTGCGTTAGCATGTTGGATGATTGTGTGAATCCTTTTCCACACTTGGAGCAAGTGAATGGTCTCTCCCTAGTGTGTATTCGCTGGTGTGACAGCAA